TGTGGTTGGTATATGAGAAGCAGTTAGACCGTTGACAAGTAACTGGGGTTAGCTGGTCGTTTTTGTCCTTTTGGAAACACATCAGTAGCTAAGCTATTTTCTAGTCAAATTGAACTATATATACTACTGTCATTTCCTGCAGGGCCATTTAAGGTCTTTTTTTTTTTTTGCCTCTAGACCTTTGTGTATGCTCTTCCCTCCGCCTGGAACATACCTTTCTGCTCTCTTCTCCTTCCCCAAGCCCAGTCTTCACTTGGCTCCCCTTTCCCATCAGGGGTCAGTTTAGATGTTGTGTCATTTCCCTACTCCTCCAAGATAGGGGACCCCTTTCTAGGGGTCCCTAAAGCCCTTAGGGAGCTTTGGTGGTGTAGTGCCTAAGGCATTTGACTGCTAACCAGAAGGCTGGCGGTTCAAACCCACCAGCCACTCCATGGAAGGAAGACTGGGCAATCTACTTCCGTAAAGATTTACCTCCTGGGAAGACCCAAAGGGGGTCGCTATGAGTTGGACCCAACTTGACGGCAGTGGGTTTATTTTTTTTTTTTGGTACAGCCCTTGGTTGTCCCTATTGTGGCACTCACAAGTATTATAGTGCTGAAATGACATTAAACCTGGAGTCTTTTATGTGTGATGTGAGGGAGGTGGGTATCTGTGTGAGAGTGGACACTTACTTGTCTCTTTTGTTCTCCATTCCCCCCGTACCCTGTGCAGTGCTTGGACACAATGTGTGTTCACTGACTGTTTGTTGTCAGTGAGTGAATGATGGTTCATTTTGCTTGAAGTCTTTGAGCTCTGGGTGTTGGAAGCCATTAAATCAGTTTGGTTGACTAATACCGCTTATTCTGAGGTGCCTACAACCTTAGGAGACATTCAGATGACCGTGAGCACAGTGCCACAGACCAGTGGTAAGACTGGAGACAAGCATAGTCACATCTTGGTGACCAGCTGGCACCCAGGAAGTCCAGGTCGTGACTCAGGACCTCTTCCCACAGGCTGTCTAGGAGCCCCTGAGAGCACTGTGACCAACGGCTCTTGTTTGTAGGGAAGTCAAAACCCAAATTAGAAAATCTAAGCAAGCTTTGTGCATTTGGGGAAGGCCAGGTTGAAAAGTACAACCTCATGGGTAACAATATATTGAGGGTAGATTCAACCAAAGAAAAAAATATTAGTCTTTTATAAATAGGGCTAAGGCCTTAAATCAGAGACACCCTGGTGGCACAGTGGTTAAGAGTTCAGCTGCTAACTGAAAGGTTGCCAGTTCAAACCCAGCAGTGGCTCTGTAGGAGAAAAGACCAGGCAATCTGGGCCTGTGAAAATTCCCTATGGGACAGTTTACTCTGTCCTGTAGGATTGTGTCATAGATTGAATTGTATCCCCCAAAATATATGTCAGCTTGGCTGCACCATGGTTGTCACTGGCAGTTATGTAATGATGTAATCATCCCCCATGATGTGATCTGACGTGATCAGCCAGTCAGTTGTAAGAGAGTTGGGGGTTGGGGGTCGCTGCCCTGATGTAAGGGGAGTTTCCTTGGGTTGTGGCCTGCGTCACCTTTTATCTTACGAGAGATGAAAGGAGAGAGAAGTGAGCAGTAGGGCGGGACCTCCTACGACCAAGAAAGAAAAACTGAGAGTGGAGCTTACCCTTTGGACCCAGGGTCCCTTTGCTGGGAACCTCTAGACCCAGGGGAAGATTGATGCCAAGACTCACGGAGGTCTCCAAGGAACACTGGGTCTACAGGTGCTGAAAGGAGACAAGGCCCATCCTCCTAAACTGTGAGCCAATAGAGAGAGAGAAACCCTTCTGAATCCGGATTTCTAGCTTCCTCGACGGCTGTGAGTTTTGAGTTTTAAACTGTGAGAGAATAAATTTCTGTTTGTTAAAGCCACCCACTTGTAGTATTTCTGTTATAGCAGCGCTAGAGAACCAAGACAGGTTGCTGTGATTTGCAGTCTACTCAATGGCACACAACAGCAGGGCTTTAAATCGTCTCTACCTGGTTTCCTCAGGCACTTTAATATATCTTGTCTAAGACTTGATCGCTAGCCTGCCCTCCCAAAGGTGTTCTCCTGTACTCTGTCTCTCTCTTCGTGGAGCCACTGGAGCCCTGTGATTCTTCTTTTTCCCTCACAGGCCTTCAGACACCCGTCCTGGGGCTCTCCTTTCTGTCCCTCAGGCTGTCTAGCTTCTTCCTGTCCCTGCACACATGCCCCGTCCTGCTGCGTTTGGTAGGGCACGTGTTGGACTTGTTTTTAGTCTTCTTGTGTCTAGGCTCCCTTCCTCCAGCCCATTTCCCATCCTGTCATCAGAGCCCATTCCAAAATACAAGTCTGATCCCATCAGTCCTTTGCCCGAGAGTGTTCAGAGATTTGCCGTGGCTTCAGGGAGTTCTGGTGCCGTTGGTTGATGCTGACTCATGGCATCCCGTGTGTGTCAGGATAGAATGTGCTCCATGGGAGCTGATTGTTTGGAAGCTGATTTCCAGGAAGCCCTGGAAAACCAGGGCTTTTCTTCTGAGGCACCTCTGGATGGACTTAAACCACACACACACACACACACACACACAACGCCCCAGTTTGGTTAGCAGCCAAAAGCGTTAAGGCCATTGGCTGCTTTGGCAAGCTGCTAAAGAGTCTGTGACTTGGTTTCTCTATTTGTACAAAAAGGTGACGGGGCTATGCTAGGTGATGGATGGCTCAAGCTCAAGCTCACTTCTGACTCTGACATTCAGAAATTCTTTGAGTCAAAGTTAAAAATCTATAAGTAGGGCATTCTGAGTCAGGGTGGGAATTTTTCCCCTCTCATCACTTATCCAGGCTTCACAGGGGACAACGTCATTGTCTTTTTGCATTCCACAAAGATAAGCTTGCATTCTAAAAACAAAGAAGTCGCAGGGAATATAAGAAGAGTGTGGTAGTCGAATATTATGTTTGAGAATTTAGGCTCCCAAGTCAGGAAACGGGCTCATCAACCCGCAGCAGCTTTTGTTTTGATGCGGCCGCACATTCGGCTGGAAGAGCCCCAGCTGCCGTTGGCCGCCCAGCCCGCGTGAGGTGCAGGGCCCTGGGAGTCGTTACCTTGATCTTCTCGGCCGCTGAGCCTTTAACTTCTCCAAGTTAATGTCTGTTCTTTATGGTTACATTATCTTGTAGCAAGGTAGTCATTTATAATTTATATACTGTGCACTGGCTTAAAATAGAGACAAGAGGATAATCAGCATCCTAAGCTTCTAGTTTTCCAAAATAACATTTCTTCAGTGAAGTCTGCCTGTAGGAATTGAAACCTGCTGTGAATTAAAAAACCCCTTGTCCTGTTGTCCAACAGGAAAGTGGGTGTGCTGGCCAGCATTATTTCAAAAAGAGAAAGAAGACCATCTCTCTTTTTTCTTTTCTTACTAAAACTCTTCATTATATTTTACTCTATTCAGAATAACCACTAAAGACCTCAACCATGGTCACGTTCCAGGGACGCCACTGTAGTGACTGAGAGGGGTCAGAGGCAGAGGTGGAGGAGATGGGAGACAGGGCCCTGCGGAAGGACGAAGCTGGCACATACCTCAAGCACTGTCTGCTGCGGTTTTGGCCTTCTTCCATCTAGCTTGCTGCTTTGCTCGCCTTTGACAGCAAACGCAGGAGTGGGACGAGCTTTTCAGTCGGATCCCTTGTGGAGAACACCTGGTGCCTTCACATCTATTAAAGACAGGCCGACTTGACAAATTCCCGGTAGAATCAGGTTTTCACAAAAGCCACGGAAATACTAGGGCTCTAACTTACCTAACTTGTTTTTGTAACGAGTCTCTGAAACCCCCAGTTTTGGTTCCCCGTTCCTTGTCGTGATGCCTCTTCAGCGTGCCAGGGCTTCTGGTGGGATTTGTAATGAGAGCAGGGAAACGATGCTTCTGCGGTGGTGTGGTCTTGTTCGTCCGATGCCTGGCAACTTTGTATTTAAACCCCAAAATGATTTTTACTGTGACCACCGTTTCTGTGAGTGTGTCTCGTATGACCATAACTGTGCCCATGTGTGTATTGTCCGTGTGTGCATAGGTGCCCCTGACCTTTGGTATGGGGGTGGTAGACAGCAGCCGAGGGGTAGGGTAGCAACATCCTGAGTGAGTTAACTCAGAAAGCCACAAGGTGGCAACATTTTCTAAGCTGCCAGATGTTCTCTTCCCCCATTAAGATGTTGCATTTGCTATTCCAGCTACAAGATTGAAGAGCTGAGAAAAGGGGTTAGCAGTCATTGCTTCAGGTCCTTTTGAAAGTGAGGCTGTGGAATAAACACACTACAGGATATTAGTGTCTATTTGTCACCTTGGTTTAGAGACTGAGAGTTTGGAGTTGCTCCACGTGACTGGTGAGTCGCTTGCCCTTTGGCCTCAGCTACTCATCCTGGAAGGAGAGACCAGTAATTGCACCAGCTGGTCTAATGGTTCTTTTCCTCCATGATTTATGACTTTGGTTACAACTTCCTCCCCAGGATTGCTTTTGAAAAACTTCTAGCAAATCCAACCTTTAAATGAAAACAAAACAAAACAGAACAACAATAACAAAAACACTAGCTTTTTATCAAAAGGCAGAGTCATAATAATAAAAAAAAATTAACAACAATAAAATCCCAAGGCAATTAGTGTCCCTAGAAGCTGGCCATCTCCCTGGGTTAGTACAAGAGACTCGACTCCCCTAAATGTGTTTGCTTATTTACCAGCTTTCCCAAATGAGCAGCTTTGGGGCTATTAAGATCTGTAAGAAACTGTCCAAGGGAGGTACTGAGTATGCTTTGCAGTGATTAAGCCATTAAGCTCTAATTGGTATTTTCCCACTCATGGTTTTGTGCAGGAAGCTTTAAGATTATTTAGGAATTCTGTGTTCCTCAGCCATCTTAGTGGCATCTCTCCGTTTTGGGATCTGAGAGTAGGAGAGAAGGCAGAGAAAATGTTTTCATGAGGGCGGATTATGACTTTTGCTTATAACGTCCTGCCCTGTTGGTTTGTTATCTTGCAGATGAAGTGGAAAGGGAAGGACCTGTTTGATTTGGTGTGTCGGACCCTGGGGCTCCGGGAGACCTGGTTCTTTGGACTGCAGTACACAATCAAAGACACTGTGGCCTGGCTCAAAATGGACAAGAAGGTTGGACTGGAACTCCGTGAAACCAGCAGGGCTGGCGTGTTCTGTTCCGTCTTTTCCCTGGGCATGCACCTGGCTGGTTGTTCACCATCAGGGTAGACAGAGATGAGACAGAGAATAGGGCAGCCTCCTGAATTGAGTACGCAGAAGGCAGGTCCTGGAGACGCCCCAGGTTTCTCTACCCCTCATAGCCTCTCCAGGAGCACAATTAGCCAAGATGAAACTGTTACCAGCCCTGGCCTATTTAGCCATTGTCACCAGGCTGATTACTTCTGCCTTTATGCCCTTCCATTTATTGAACCACTAGTCAGACTGTGAATCAAAATTAGTTACCCTTATGCGCACGTGCAAGGCTGGCGGTTCAAACCCACCAGCCGCTCCTCGGAAGGAAGGTTGGGCAATCCTACTTCCGTAGTGATACTGCCTCGAAAACCCAAGGAGGGGTCGCTGTGAGTCAGGGCTGACTCGACGGCACGTAACAGCAATAACAACATGCACATGTGTACTCACACACACACATACACACACATATATGTATATACACATGCACACACAATTTATGTCTTTGAAATAATCTCCTGGGGCTCATGTTCTTTAAGGATTTTTTTAAGCCTTTTTGAGAAACACCATGGCCCGACTTGAATTCATCATTAATGTGACCTGAGGGAGTAAGGACCACCCTGGTCCCTGTGGCAGAAGAAGAATGTCCATTTTGTCCTCAGGATTCTCTGGGGCTTCTGAGTCATGGTAGAGAAGTCTGGGCTCCCAGCCCTTTGAATTTGGTTTGGAAAAAGATGTTGCTTAGGGGAATTGCCCTCTCTGTGGGTTCATATGTGTATACAAAGTCATACTTCCCTGTCTACCTAACAACGAAGATGGATGGGGGAGCAGGTCCATGTGCTTTTGTCAGTAACTCCTGAAAGTTACGTGAATCCCAAAGTAAGTCAGTGTCTAATTTTTACCCCAAAAGGTATCACTTATAATTGCCTACCTGAAGTTCTGATCTACCGTGTGGCTTGGTACACAATGAAAGCCTCTTTGACTAGTCTGACTCTGAGCTTAAATGTTCACATTGTGTTCAGGTATGGACTCAGTAATCTGAATCTTCATGTCGGAATTCCTGCTGGTTGTCAGTTTCACAGTGGGAATTCCCAGTGATCGTGAACATCAAAGTGCCATTGTGTACCAATGTCAGTTGAGTGCCCTAGATCAGGTTTACTTTGCATCTCCTGGGCATTGCCTGGAGTTGGAGCAGGAGCATGAAGAGCTCTGTATCTTTTTGTGACTCTCAGCCACCTAAGTTTTGAATCATATTGGAGTGTTGGCCAAATGGAGCTACTTGAAGGCATCGGATGCCAGGGAGCCAGCCTCCTGCTCAAAGGAAATAAGTTAGGACACATTCTCACTGGGGCCTCGTAGCATGTTATACAGCTTGTTTATGTCCTGAGCTAACGTACACTCTGGAGAGCAGACGGTTCAAGCTTTTCAGAGGGCGGATGGATTTGTTTGAAAATTAAAGGCACTGGTTGCTAACTGTGTTCCAAGCATCTCTTGGGGCATCTCTGGGAGCTCCTAGAAGTGACAGGGCTTGTGGTGGACACGTTTCACTTCTGTTACTTGGTTAATGTTGGGATGATTTTAATCAGGCTCTGGTTTATCACCTCTAAGCTCCATTCCAATCTGGACCTCATTATTGGAGGTGAGCAACAAGAAAAAGAATAAAGGAAGAGTCCATTACATTAGAAAATAATAATAATAAAAACCTTCAGTCTACTGTAAAGATAGTGCTTAAAACCTTTTAGATATACATATTTTAATTTTTAACTATTTCTATGTCTTCAAAAACATTTGGGCCTTAATAATCTTAGCTCCACTCACCCTGAGGAGATATTGGTTAATTTGGTTCAGAAGTAAATTTTACCTCTTATTACACATGATTTTGTGTCTGCTTCAAACCACAGAATCACAGCCTTTGGGATATGTGATGAATTTGGAGGGGAAAACGTTTTCATACACTCCCTACAAAAAGCTCTTTGGTGGTGGCACCACGACAGCGTGTTTATTTCTTGCTCTTTAACTCTGCAGGTGCTGGATCATGACGTATCAAAGGAAGAACCAGTCACCTTTCACTTCCTGGCCAAATTCTATCCTGAGAATGCTGAGGAGGAGCTGGTTCAGGAGATCACCCAACACTTATTCTTCTTGCAGGTACAAGAGTCTGTGCTACCCTCCTGATTCTGAGAGAACGCTCCCAGAACTGGTTGCAGCATCGGTCTGGGAGAGCCCCTCAGAGCTGACTGACCACAAACGCCTTCACATCGTGAAAACGTTCTGTCTCTGAAAAGTCAGTCCCTTTGGCTCCATGATGGACAAATGTTCAGAATGGAATTGTACTTGAGTGATGAGAATTGGTGTCAGATGAAATTGCAGAAGTGAGATGGGGAAGGAATAGATGCACGTAACTACCTAGCTTCAAATCTCCTTAAAGAAGGAGACTGTTTTCGTCTGGCTAACTTCAAGAAAGTATTCAGTCATTGCAAAAGAAGGTTAGAGAGAGGTTCTCATAAAGCACCAGTTCTCCTGAAAGATCCAACTCTGTTTTCATTAAGACAGGGCTGCTTAGGACCCCAGTGACGCTTGGTTTATGCCACGCATGTGGTACTTCAGACATCATGCTTCATGCTACTCTTTGTCTGTAATTGTCTTATTTCCCCCTTACTCCTTCATTAGATTGTAAGCCCCTTAAAGGCAAGGCTCATTGAGTAAATTACTCAACTGAATTGAAGAAATTAGGAGATCCATAATTACAAGCTCAAAGACCGCTAGTTGCTGTCTGGGGCCATAGTCAGAGGTGGGGTGGGGGCAGGGGATGGTCTGAGGAAGAAAGCCCCATCTGTTTTGTTTGTGTTCTTGCTCCTTGGTCAGAGCCAGTCCTCGATTTCATGGTTAGTTACAGTGATTAGCGCTGGGGCTGCCTCATGTGCCTAAAGGCACCCACTGCCAATAATGTAAAAGATTGCAGCAGGGGTGCTAATTACACAATTTCCCATGTAGACCTCCTGTAATTAGTTTGAGTCTCAGTATACTGTGTTCAGTAAATGTTAAGTTAAATGTAATAAAACCCCTCAAATCATTTGTTTTACAAAACAGGTTTACCATATATGTATATATTCTTTCTAACATTTTCAGATCAGTTTTAATTTTTCTGTAGTGTTGTTTTTTTTCCCCCTTTAAAAAGCAACCAAAGGATCAGAAAGTTTCAGAAACATCTCAGGTTTCATTTTCTCTATACCAAAACCAAACCCACTGCCATCGAGTCAATTCTGACTCATAGTGACCCTAGGGGACAGAGCAGGAAACCCTGGTTTATAGGGTTTCCGAGGCTGTAAATCTTTATGGATGCAGACCGCCTCATCTTTTTCCTGTGGAGCAGCTGGTGGGTTTGAACTTCCGACCTTTTGGTTAGGAGCCGAATGCCTTAACCACTGCACCACCAGAGCACCTTCATTTTCTCTTTTGTTGTTGTTATTATGTGCTGTCGAGTCGGACCTGACTCATAGCGACCCCTCCTTGGGTTTCTGAGGCAGTATCACTACGGAAGTGGATTGCCCAACCTTCTTTCCGAGGAGTGGCTGGTGGGTTTGAACTGCCAGCCTTTTGGTTAGCAGTCAAGTGCTTTAGGCACTATGCTACCAGAGCTCCTTAGGAATGTAAAATCAGTTTTAAAACGTGGGAAGACTTTTTGCCTTTGAATGAAATTGCATAATGATCTCTCTGTATGGTGCCAATAGTTGTACAGTTGACTACTAACCAAAAGATCAATGGTTTGAACCTACCCAGAGGCACCTTGGCAGAAAGGCCTGTTGAGGTGCTGTTGTTGTTGTTGTTATATGCCGTTGAGTCGGCCCTGACTCATAGTGACCCCTCCTTGGGTTTCCGAGGCGGTATCACTACGGAAGTAGGATTGCCCAACCTTCCTTCCGAGGAGTGGCTGGTGGGTTTGAACCATCAGCCTGCTGGTTAGCGGTCAAGCGCATGAAAATCTTATGCAGGGCAGTTCTGCTGACACACACAGGGCTGCTATGAGTTGGAATTGACTTGAAGGTGACTGGCACTGGCCCTGGCCCTGGTAGGCCCCTGGTGGGACATTCACTCACTGCCATCTAGTCGATTCCAAGCATACTGCCTCATTTTTCTTCCATGGAGCAGCTGATGGGTTTGAACCCCTAACCTTTTGGTTAGCAGCCAAATGCCTGAAACACTATACCACCAGGGCTCCTTCCAGAATGTCCTAGAGTTATGGAAATGGCTTTTTTGTAAAGCCCTCAGAAGCAGTACCCATCTCTCTTGTGGCTTTGCCCTGATGTTCCCTCATGCTGAAGTACTGGAGCGTTTTGTGGCTGAGCAAGGATCTGGATGACTGTTGACATCTGTGAAGAGAGAATCGGCTTTCCTGTCATGTTTATTTTAGAGTGCCACCCTTTCAGGCGGCTCTCCTGTCTTCGTGTCTGGAACACCACACGCTGCACCACTCTAAAAAATTAAGTGCAGTGAGATATGTTAATTCAGCATTATGGCTTACAAATTATATTTCCTGGAGCTCACATGTACTTAAAAGTTTAATCGATCAAACTTTATTACTTCCTTCTTCCTCAGCACAGGCACGTTGAAGTGATGGTTTTTTCCACAGTCATAACTCAGTGGCCTTGGCGACTTTTGTCTTGCGTTAAGACTTAAAAGCAGACTCCATTTCCTCTAGTGATGAGTGTGCACAGCAGGGGCCGAGGCTGCAATCGCCACCGGAGCTGCTCCTGACGCTCCTCGTGCTCACAGCTCTCCTTCGTCACAGCCCAGATGTCACTCTGTGTTTTAACCATGAAGATTGTTTTCACTCTTCAGCGTGTGATCATGAGGAGAAGCAGTGAGGGGTTTTTACGCGCAGCCATCTTAGCAATGACATCTCAGTGACTGAACTCTCGACCCGTCTGCATCAGTAAAAAATTGTGCCCTTTGTCAGAAAATGATTAAGAGGCTGGTTTGGCAGGCCTCGTTACAACACCCTGCAGCCATCTGCTGTGCCGAGCCTGCACGTTCCCTGCCATGCTCACGCTCTCCTTCTCTCCCTTGTTGCCCCTTTCAGGTAAAGAAGCAGATTTTAGATGAAAAGATCTACTGCCCTCCGGAGGCTTCCGTGCTCCTAGCTTCTTACGCTGTCCAGGCCAAGGTAGGCTGCAAGAAGAAAACCGTATTGTTCTGGGCATTGCCACGTGTCACGGCATCGCTTCTGTCCACTGTTCCTTTGCATATTCTGCACTTGAGAGAGACTTGCCTCAGAATGTGAGATGTTACGGGACTTGGGGATCCATAATAGCGGTCCCAGGGTGTGCGTGTGCAGATAACCATAGTCACTTGTTTTTATCACATACAGATAATGTAGCATCTGTATACGTAGCATCCTAGCATTCTGTATCATACATACAGAAACCAGTGAGAAGCACATGGCTCTGTAAATTTTCTGTGTAATCTCATTTTGCACATGTGAACTACATTCACTGGATCCCCCTCTTTTTATTACAGTCATGCATTGCTTAATGCCCACGATGCATTCTGTGAAATAGGACATACGTGATTTGGACGTTGCACAAACACCATGTTATATATACAAGCAGCCCCCAGATAACAAACGAGTTCAGTTCTTAAGTCTATCTTTAAGTTGAGTTTGTGCCTAAGTCTATTAGCTGTGGTTCATATCTAACATCAGTTAGTCAAATGTTTGTCTTAATATATAAAGTATCTCTCTATGCATAAAAAACATTAAAGAAACACTTCCAGATACACTAAAACATCTTTAACATAATAATACAGTAGTACAAATAGTGATGTTTTGATGCATGTCCCAAAGTTGTGCTTATTTGTTACTATGAACCATTGTATGTACCTCGACTTTTTGATATTGATAGCCTTTACGGAGGTTGGGACCACAGACCTCTGTGGTTGGACTTGCCTGAATGGACATTCTGTGGTGCGTGACAGAAATAAGAAAAAAAGGAATTTATGGTCTCCAGTTTTTGCTAAACATGTCAAGCTCATCTGAGAACCAGCACCACACTCAGAGAAAGCTTTGTTCTGTCTATCCACTGGGCATTCCCCCAGGCTCCTGGCTGAGCTCTGCAGGCTCTGTGCCCTCCGAGCCCTGCTAAGCTGTCGGGTTGGCGGAAAGTCTTTCAGAGAGAAATCACTGCAGGCTGGGAGTGACTGGGGAGGCAGGCCGTGGTCTTGTGGTTTTGTCCCTTCTGTTTGTATAAGTGCCAGCCCAGCGTCATGTCCCGCACATTCCCCACTTCAACATCATACCACCTTCTCTTGGTGCCCCCGCTCCTGCCTTTCGCTGCAGTGTAAGCTGTCCCCAGAATTGCTATCCTTGATGCTTTGTGATTTTGAAGCATAATCTTTGCAGTTGCTCCTTTCTAGTGACAGGTGTCCAAAAAGTCTTTTCCCTATAATGCTAGAAAAATGAATAAGATACTCTCAACTTCTTGGCTCACTGTTTTGGATGTTGTTGTTGTTGTTATGTGCCGTTGAGTCAAACCCAACTCATAGCGGCCCCTCCTTGGGTTTCCGAGGCAGTATCACTACGGAAGTAGGATTGCCCAGCCTTCCTTCCGAGGAGTGGCTGGTGGGTTTGAACTGCCAGCCGTCTGGTTAGCAGGCAAGTGTCTTAGCCGCTATGCTACCAGAGCTCCTACTGTTTTGGATAGATGCAGTATAATTTCAGCTCTAAGCCAGGAGGTAACTGGCCTGCTATTTGAGGAGGAAAAGAAGTCTGTAACCTGCTGGTCAAAACAGCAAGAGCCCCAGAGTCGGATTAATCATTTGATGACTAGACTAATATCTGCTGAGTGTTTAGCAGGCCTCTCGAGAGCCGACGCTGTCACAGATGCAGGCGCTAAAGCAGGTGTCTGCCCTCAGCAGTTGGCCCAAGGTCATTTGGACAATCTTGGGTAAAGCTAAGGGCAGGATATGTGACTTTAGGATTACATTCTGTGCCTCCCCCATTCCACTGCCCTAAAAACCGAGTTATTGAAAAAAATGGAAAAATAGCCCTTGATTCAATTAAAACATATGCTTCCTTTTATGCTTTAATTAAGAATATTAATAACAGGAAAAGTGTGTCCTTTCAATCAGTGTCGCCCTGACAGTGATGAAGCAGTCATTGTCACCTTCATTAAACCCAAGCACTTCCTGGCTTGGAGTCTAGTTCCTTTTAAGCATGCTTGCTCCCTAGCTATAAGGGGACCCAAGCCCTCAAGGACACTGCCTCTCTTGAAGGACTTCAGTCTGAAGGGCTACATTTTCTCTGCATGGATTTCAGGCTACCAATGCCAGTGCCACCTGTGGGGGCCAAAAAAAAAAAACACTTTTCAGGGAACCAGCAGCAGATGTTTGCTTAAACAGATTTCACTGTAGGAAAGCCCTACCGATTTGTATCCTACTAATTTGGAGATGAAAGTAATTCACGGACAGCATATGTGGTTCATATGAGGAGGCTGTGCTTGCTGTTTTTTTCCGGTGTAAATTTTCAGGATGTGACAGATAAAGGTAATCTATGGCTTAGGGTCTACACTCAGGAAACTGAGGACCACAGTACCGTGCATCTAGCTTCAAGGACTGTTGGTTAAAATGAACGGAGTATCTCTTCTGATACTAAGATCCTGTGTGCCTGTAGAGTTTGACAGTTTTACAAAGTGCTGTAACATGCATATGTTGTGGCCAAGGCTTGAGACCGTTAGGCCTGTTTTGCAGATGAGGAATTTAAGGCCCAGAAAGGATTAGTAAATTGTCTAAAGTTACAGTACTGGTATGTCACGTTATTTTTATGGAATTTTAGCCCACTTTTAAAAAATTGCTATAAAGATACATAAAACATTTGCCAATTGAACGTTTTTCAGGTGTGCAATTTGGGGATAGCAGTTACATTTAGCATCTTGTGCACTGTCACCTGTAATCGTTACCACATTTCTCATCCCCTTAAACAGAAACTTACTGCTTCCTCAACAGTGGGTCCCCCGCCTCCCTCCATCTCACCCCTGGTAACCACTGATAAACTTTGGTCGCTATGCGTTTGCCTGTTCTTGTTATTTCATATAAGTGAGGTGGTTTTGTTTCTCTAGAGACCCCAGTCTGACACATCATACAATGTTTGTTCTTATGTAATTGACCGATTTCACTGAAGCATAAGGCTTTCAGTGTTCATCTATGTCGTAGCGTGTATCAGAACTTTGTTTCTTTTTATGGCTGAGTAGTACTCCATTGTATGTGTGTCCCACATTTTGTTGATCGCTTTGTCCATTGATGGATACTTAGGTTGTTTCCGCCTTTTGGCTTTTGTGAACAGTGTTGGAGTAAATGTCAGTGTACACGTGTCTGTTTGCATGGCTACTTTTAGGTCTGTTGCATATATACCTAGGAGTGGAATTGCTGGGTCATGTGGCAGTTTTATGTCTATGAGGAATTGCCAAACTGTTTTCCCCAATGGCTGTACCATTTTGCATTCCCACCAGCAATGGATAAGGGTTCCAGTTTCTCCACATCCTTACCAAAATTTCTTGTTTTCTGTTAGCCATCCTAGTGGGAGTGACCCACTGTTACTGAGTTGATTCTGACTGATAGTGACCTCCACTGGGTTTCTAAGGCTGTAAATCTTTATTGAAGTACATTGCTTCAACATCCTCCCATGAAACAGATGGTGGATTTGAACCACCGATCTTCTGGTTAGCAGCCAAATGCTTTACCCACTACGCTACCAGAGCTCCTAGTGGGAGTGAAGTGTTATCTCATTATGGTTTTAATTTGCATCTTCCTAACGGTATAGCCAGGGAGCTCTGGTGGCGTAGTGCCTAAGGCATTTGACTGCTAACCAGAAGGGTGGTGGTTCAAAGTCACCACTCCTAGGAGGGAAGGTTGGGCAATCTACTTCTGTAGTGATACTGCCTTGGAAACCCAAGGAGGGGTCGCTATGAGTTGGATCTGACTCCACAGCTGTGAGTCTGATCAATGGTATAGCCAAGGAGCGCTGGTGGTGCAGCAGTTAAGTGCTCATCTGCTAACAAAAAGGTCTGTAGTTTGAACCTGCCAGCTGCTTCACAGGGAAGAGACATGGCAGTCTACTTCCACAAAGAGTATGGCTTGGAAACCCAATTGGGCAGTCCTACTTTTTCCTACAGGGTTGCTGTGAGTTGACATTGACTCAACAGCAATGGGTTTGGTTTTCCCACTTCTTGATTGAAGGGTTTGAGGCAGAATATAACAAGTGAGTGGAGCCGGGATGAGAACCCCAGTCTCTAGGTTGCCTAACTTGACACTTTGTTCTTGCTTCACACTGCCTAGTATGTGAGGGAGGTCTGGGGGTAACACACATTGCCTTTCACCAAATTCCAGTTTCATTTATGTGATCACATGATCCAAGCTTTTTAATAAATCATATTGGCTCCTTTTAGTATATTCAGTTTGTTTTCTTCCACAACCTTTCTGGAACAGAAAGAAACTTGAGAAGTATGAAGGAGAAAGTGAATTGAGCTTGTTAACACATGGAATGTAATTATGAACAAATGTATTCATTACAAGATTTTAGCTTTTTGAATGATAGAGACATAGTTAATTCCAAAGCATAAAGAAACAATTACCCTCAAAGTATAAATACAAATATTAATCACATGGTTCAGTTAACAAGAACTATATTTCTTGGTTGGAGTTTGAATGATGTTTGAATGAAAAGTGTGGGCTGGGTTCCCACCCACCCCCACCCCCCCGCTTTGGTCCAGTCACGTGACAAACCAAACCATAGTGCAATGTTGCAGCCACCTGTTGGATTTCATATTGATAATTTGTTATTTGAAATATGTTCTTATTAAAAATGACTTTGAGAAAGAATGGTATGTAGTTTACCAGTCCTACAGTGCTGCCTGCAAGCCCCTGGTGTTCGGAAGAGAGAAAAGAATGGTAAGAGATGAGATACATAAAGTAAATGTAGGGAGTTGAGGGTGAGAGGTCTGGAGGGGCCAGATCATAAGGGTCTTAACCTGATCCTGTGGGTGATGGGTTCCTATTTCAGACAGATGGTGAAGGACAGATTGGAATGAGAGAAGTTTGGAAACAGGCAGACTGCTGTGGCCGCCATCTTGGTTGGAGACCATAAGGTCAGACCTTGGCTGGTGGTTGGATGAGTGGTGGGAGACTGACTTAAAAATATCCAGGAGGGAAAGTTCCTATAAATGGTGCTATACTCTGCACATCCTATTTTTTAGAATCACAAAGACACTCAAATTTATGATGTGACTGTCTCTGTAGATGATGGAACCTACAAAATCTGCATATCCTTTTACAAATTGCTTTTTTACTTCTGTTCCCCATTGATTTTGGGATTTATTCATGTTGGATTTATTCATGTTGCATTTATTCATGTTGGATGCTGTTGGTTTTAGCTGTTGTATGGTAGCCCGCTGATGACTAAACCCAGTTGGTTTATCTGTTTCCCTTCTGAGGGAGAGGCAGGTTGTCTGGGCTTTTGCCCCATTATAGAAAGTGCTTTACGGAAATCCTTCACTATGACTCCTCAGGTACCTCTCTGTAAGTGTCGTCCTCCCACCCCCATCCCCCTGCCATGGATTGAATTTAAATGTGGTTGGTTTATATCAGGGCTAAATCCAGGTTTTGTGGGGCCTGGAGTTTATATCAGGTGGGAGGCTCTCGTTAATGCAAGAATACCAAATTATGAATATCAAATTAGGTGCAGGCCCATGCAGTGCAGAGACCTGAAAACCAAGCTTCATTAACTTCACAGGAAATTCACTGCTGGTTAGATGATCACAATGCAGCTCTTACATAAAAGGATAGGGAACTGCCATCTCCATCTATGGAATGGTACAGTTTTCTTTTCTACTCACCAGCTGCCACAATTTAAGGATATGTTTTTTTCTTCCTTTGTTTTTTAAAGAGACATTTAAGAGCAGATATACCCATCAAGGTGGCTTTGATGTTGTAAGTGGAGTTAATCCAGTGGAGAAATTCTTTCGGCAGGGCCTCTGCCACCCCGGCATGGCTCAGATGTCATGTATTTGATCAGCGGAGGAGCTGGGAGCTGGTATAGTAACGTCTGAGGAGTTAATCTTGCAAACCTTTGGAACCTGCATTGATAATGTTAGCTTTGCATATCTGCTTACTTTTGCCCTAGAGTCTGGTCGGCGCTGTTGAAAGCTTGCAGGTGCATTTAACATGGCTTTCTGCAATCTCCTCCCCATTCAGAGATCCAAGAGATGAATAACAACCAGTGAGTAGTGGAGAGGATGACAAGAATCATAAGAATATCTGACCTCTGGGTGTCTTACCCCATCCTCAGCACCCGTGTGAGACAGGCACTATCATAGCCAACTCTGGCTGCTAACCAGAAAGTCAGTGGTTCAAGCCCACCAGCCGCTCTGCGGAAGGAAGATGAAGTCCTCTCTTTCCGTAAAGATTTACAGCCTCACAAACCCAGTGGGGGTCACTATGAGTCAGCATCGAGTTGATGGCAGTGAGTTTGGTTTTTTGGTTTCTGTACAGATGAGGAAGTTAAGGTTTAGAGAAGAAGGTACCTTTACTCGAGCTAACTCCAGAGCCCCCTGCTTTGACAACTATGTCCTCTAAGGCCAGTGCCTTCATTTGACAGACAAGAAAATCACTCAGAGATGTGACACTCAGAGAAATGACACAACCTGAGTTTAGCTCTTGACATCAGGTTGTATTGGGCTCTTAGGTTTTAACAACTTGATGAGTATCAGTCCATTTAGGCCCCATAACCCCCCCCCAGGGGAGGCCTATTATTATCCCCATTTAACCGATGAGAAAACTGGGGCACAAAAATTTCCAGGATTCCGTGGCTAATAGTGCAAGAGCTGGGATTGGAATCTCCAGAGGCAGGTTCCCACCCACGCTCCACAGCTGTTTCCTGAGAGTTCAGTTAAAGCCCAATACAGTTACTGACTGGTCAGCCTTGCAGGACTTCTCAGAGGCGGAGAGAAGCCAGAGCACTTCTGGTTTTTTATATGAAAAAAAGCATGAATGAGGTTACAAAAACAGTGGCATATTTAAAATGTTTAAATTTGACACAAATTTTTTGAACATGCATGGAACCAATACACTGTCATTCTGCTGTTCACAAGATAGTTACAAGAGATTTATAAGAAGAAATAATTCCTGAGGCTTTGTCAGGGTGGTGTGATAATGAGCCACAGGGTAAAGGTGGTGGTAAACACCTTGCTGTCCTGTGAGTGTCTCTCTGTTGTCTGCTGTCACAAGCTCATTTAGAGAACACACCAGAAGTCGGACTTGAGGCTCTGTGAGAATAGGCAGGTACGACAACCTCCTGACTCCACTGGGGGCCAGGTAGAGTGAACAGCTTCATGTCTTCCCTCTCTGTCCCTCTTTCCAGTGCTGGTGACTGGAAGGATAAACGTTTGTAGGAAGTTTTACTAACATACTGAGCTTTGCTGTTTTTGGTAAAAAAAGAAGAGCCACTGAGGAATTGTATGTGTAAAAATTGTTGAATTGGCAAATGCTTCTTATGTATATTTGTACCACAATAAAAAAATAAAAATAAAAAAGAATAATTAGTAAGAGACAGCTTTAATGCTGTGTTGTACTGTGTACTTTATGGATAGTTTATTTTGACAAATTCTTTTACTTTTGAACAGCTCCTGGTCAGACTTAAATTTCCTTGGAAAGAAAGTATTATTATTTATTATTATTTGAATCAGAAACTAAATTTCAAAGTCATTGTCTCTGGATGAGGAAATTGAAATACAGAGAGCCCCACAAGTGACTTGCTGTGTGACTTTAGGGAATCAGAAAATCTTTTGCTCATGTCTTAGTCTGCACAGTGGGAAAGACAGTACTGACATCAGATTTTTCAGAAGCATTTTTCAGATCCGTGAGTGAAGAAACTAAAAATATTGCCTGTATTATCCCACCTCTCAACTAGCAATTCGTTCCAATTACCAGCCACTTAGAAGCATTTGTATCAGAAATAGGTAAGATTCTTATCACACACAGCTAATCATAACTTTCCCAGTTGTGTTTGTGGCTTCATGTCAAAAGCTAATGTTTTGGTGGTGATTGCTTTCTTTGAGGGTTAGAAAATACGGCCAGGTTTCTAAGCAAATGCCGCACATCCTTATTAGCACATCACCCGTCCATCCCTTACGGGATTATACAACTCTGTTCAGAGATAAAATCAGCTTTGTGTTTTCATCCAAGGATAACAAAACCAGCAAGGTTGAAATCTTGACTTGTCATCGGAATTGAATTGTTCCCGGGAGCTGGGAGGCAATGAGGAGTCGAGCCCTATTCAGAAAAGACAGTCAGGAATCTCAATTGCCTGCTCTCCTTTTCTTCTCCCTCCAGTATGGTGACTACGACCCCTCGGTTCACAAGCGGGGATTTTTGGCCCAGGAGGAATTGCTGCCAAAAAGGGTAAGAAATCAAGTTGGGATGTTTTGGAAAAACGTAGCAGACAGATGGTGTAAAAAGAAAGCTAACTGAAAGACTGAAGGAATATTGGAAGTACAAGAACATTTTTTAAAATATTTTGTAATAAACCTTGAATAAAGAGTGTGAAGTCCCTGTTAAGAATATTAAAAAGCCAAGGTTCATGACGTTGCCAGGACTAGCCTGGCCCGCATATGTGTGTGTCCCCCACCCCCCAAAGGGCCATTTCCTTAGAGGTGCTTGAACATCATTGATTCCCAGGGAGAGGGAGGAGTGTGGAACAGTGTGTGCTCAGATGGGGAATTGAGTTGTTTGCAGCCGTGCTGGGTGGGTAGAGAAGATGCGTTAGGGGTGGGCATTGTGGTTTTGAATCCCCGGTGTTGTTCATCTTGTTCATTAGCTGCAGAAGCAGGCCCGCCCTCCCTTTTGCTACTTCCAATTTTATAGCTCCACTCATCTGTCACTGAGTAATACAGTCTGTTCCTCACCTTTTGCTGACTTTACCTATTCATTTGATGGCTTCTGTGCAGGCGAAGGCAGCAGCGTGCGCAGCCCGGCCTCGCTGGCCTGGGGATAGTTAGCCTGGCCCCTGACCCAGCTCCGCCATCAGAGATGGTCTCTAGGATTCACAGCCCGGGAGGGAGGGGCACACCAGAGGAAGGATGCCCTGGCCTGAGTGATAGTGCAGCTCTCCAAGTTGTTATCCAAATTGAATGGATAATGTCATGTTTACACGCCCACCTCTGCCAGTGACTGTCTCCCTGTGTGTGGCTTTTTAAAAATAGCTCTGCTGTTTTGTAAAAACCATACATAATCATAAAAATGTCAAATAATCCCAAAACTTTCTTTGCTTGTGGGTTTCTTATTTTGTTCTATTTTTCAATAGGTAATAAATCTGTATCAGATGACTCCAGAAATGTGGGAGGAGAGAATTACCGCGTGGTACGCAGAGCACCGAGGCCGGGCCAGGTGAGCTGCTGCTGCTCGTTTGACGGCACTCCCCCCCCAAGGACTGCAAAACTAGGGCATACTTGTTGAACAAAACGCACTACCAAAAAACCACTCGCTGCTGTCGAGACAGTTCTGACTCATAACAACCCCACCTTGGGCTTCCAAGGTCGTATCTCTACAGAAGTAGGTTGCCCAGTCTTCTGAGGAATGGCTGGTGGGTTTGAACTGCCAACCTTCTGGTAAGGAGTCAAATGCCTCAGGCACTATGCCACCAGAGCTCCTGACAAATGCATAAAAGTATGTAAAAGAAAAGGGGAGAGCCAGGAGTAAGGCAGGCTTTCAGTACTATAAGTGTGTCCTTCTAGTATGTGGAATGGATAGTGGTGTGTATATGTGTTTATATTGATTCTTCCTGTCAGGATGTATACACCATTGCATCCCTGGGGAATTTGATTTTAAGAATTCTGTTGTAACTGTTGTATCTATTGTTCTGTTGATGGTATATTTTACCCAGTGTACTACTGTACCGCTATGTGAGTAGTTCCGAAGGAGGATTCTTAAGAAGACCTGCCAGGGCAAACGATGTGAGCCATTTGCATTTTGACCGGGGCCACCAATTGCCCCCACAGAGGTTTTACCTGTGTGCGTGCCCATCAGCAATGTTTTTATGACAGTGTCCTTTCTCTCTCTGTTCTCTCCCTGACACTCGTTTTTTTATCATTCTTAGGTTTGTAATGTGAAAGGTGAAAATTTCTGTGTTATTATTTTAATGAACATTTCTCTGACCACATTTGGAGTCGAACATCTTTTCATTAGCCTTCAAAATTTTTTTACTCTTCTTTAAATCAACTTCCTGTCACATGCTTTTTTAAAAAAGTGAATCACTTTTACTGAAAAGTGGTGGAATCATAAATTTACTGCTATCCAGCAGTAAATGGTGAATTATCACAAAGGGAAACGCACTGCTGTCGAAATGGATCTGACTCATAGTAATCCATCCTTGGTATCTGAGGTGATATCACTATGGAGGTAGATTGCCCAACCTTCCTTCTGAGGAGTGGCTGGTGGGTTTGAACCGCCAGCCTTCTGGTTAGCCGTCAAATGCCTTAGGCACTATGCCACCAGAGCTCCCTCACAAAATGAAAATACCCATTAACACCAGGTGAAGAAATAGCACGGGACCCCCTCCGCTCCCTCCCAGTCACCCCCTCTTCCTTCCTTCCCACAGTTAACCACTCTCTTGATTTCTGACTCCATTAATGTTGCCAATTGTAAACTTCATATAAATAGAATCAGACAGTTTCTATTTTTTGTGTCTTACATCTTTTACTCAGCATCGTATTGTGAATTTTGGGCTATGGCATATAGCAGTAGCTTTCCATTGTTGGTGCTGTGTAGAATTCAGAAATGTTCTGTTAATATACTGCAAGTTACTTGTCCCTCCCACCATTGATGGGCATTTAGGCTGTCAGGTTGTCTCCTGGTTTTGCTATTACAAATAGTGTCAGACAGTTTTCCAGAAGTGTGTGTGTTTACGTCAAAAGTGTTTGTGTGATTTCTAGTTGCTCCATGTGCCCACCAACACTTGGTGTTGTCGCAGGTGGAATTTCAAAAATCCATGTGAGAGCATTTTGAGATGGGAAGGGAGGGCCAGCTTCTGCAGCCCTGGTCCCAGGGAGACTTCTGTTTAAATATTTCAATCTTGTGCCAACTTGGGAGTTCCCTGCAAGCCATTGTGACTTCAAAAAGTAACTTTAAACTTGCCTTATAACTTACAAGTGGGTGATCTGGCTTGGGCTTTACAGCCCAGTCTCTTCTCTCGTTTTTTCTTTTCCCTAATATCTCTTGTCCTAACTGTCAACACTACCCAAAGAAATAAAATCAGGAAGTAGTTCTTAGGTGGGTTAGAGAGAGTTCTTTCATTGCCAAGACCTTTTAGCCGAAGAAGGTACAAGTAAGATAAAGTAACTTAAATACAATTTAAACATCCAGGTACATTTGAGGGAAGAAGATAACACACTGTGTGCTTCTCTTGAATGACTTAAGTGGGTGTCATTATTTACCAAGGACAAAGTCTGAAGTGGAAGCCAGGAGACACTGGAATAAATCTGTGCCGTTGTTTTTATGGAGATGGGAAATACTGCCTGACCCAGGTGTGTTTAATCACTTTGGCATTGGGAAGGGCTTGGCCGGTGTTCACTCTGACTTGTGTCTGCTGCCCGGGACTTCAGAGGAAGAACAGGTCACGTGGTGTGGGCTGCCCTCACATTCTCTCTGATCTCCAGTGACAACAGTCTTTCTTTCTTACAGGGATGAAGCAGAAATGGAATATTTGAAGATCGCTCAGGACCTAGAGATGTACGGTGTGAACTACTTTGCAATCCGGGTGTGTTGAAGTCTCTCCACAGTCCTTGTTCAGTAAAAAGACGGAATTAGGGGCAGGCTATTAAAACGGGTTACTTTTTCATTCCAGCCTGGATACAGTTCAGTGGTAAAGAAAAAAAAAAAGGAAAGGGAGAGAGAGCTTATAGCCTAATTTTCTATTTTTGGACTTCAATTAGACTATAGGTAGTTAAGTGTCAGTTGAGCCTTGAGGAACTGGGGCCTGGTTCTGTGCTCAGCACAAGCCTGTTGGGGTGCTCCGAGTATAATACTTGATTCTTTCAGGCGCTCTGAGGTCTCTGTCCACAGGGAGAACCTGTAAACGCTTCCTTTCTCCAGAATGCAAGGAGAGTAAAGCCGCTTTTATAGATTACCGATCTGTTTGGGTGGAGTATCTTGTTCTCACTGTGAGGCTAATTAGTTTTCTATCCAGACCATTAATAGTCAGCTGTCCTCTGGGAACCCGGCGCCTGCACCCAGAGATGTGTCGGGTCTCTGGGCCTCATAAGCATCTTTCTGCCTGGGTCAGCTGCTGAATGCAGCGTGTGGGCAGCGTCTCCCGAAGGAGTGTCTGTGCTCCCATCACTGGTTTCAGACTGCAGAGGGAGAGTTTAAAAACGGCCCACAGCCGCCTGCCTCTGTTATCACGGTTAGCCTTTGCTTTTGCTTTCTGTTTGGGTTCAGACAAATTTTATATACAATTTGGATAAACTGAAACACATTTTAACTTATTTGCTTTCTAAATACAGGTTTTTACAGACTTCTTTGCATAAAACAAGATACACTGAAATGTTATGTTATTGCAGAAAGCAAACTAGTATCTAAGAGGTGTTCCATAGCAAAGCAGAAGGTCATTTTCTGACGTTCTGGCAATTTACATTTCTAAACATGTGGCTTCTTTAAGCTCAGGCTGATTTAACCCATTTCTGTGGTTTGTCAGTTTGACTCCTCTTACCCCATACGCCCATCACCTAGACTCTAGAACTACAGATTGATTGCCCTCCATAAGCAGTTTCTTACTAGGGATTGTTTCTGTATCAGTCCAGTGCTTAAATTATATGTTACAATTTTTTGTGTGTGTTTCCTATATGGAGCAAAAAACAAAACTAATGGCTATTTTGGGGGGAGTTTTCTTTTTGAGTTTCTTGTGTTAGAGTTGTGGAAATTTTATTCTCAACTAAGGAATGTTGTTGTTGTTATGTGCCGTCGAGTCTGACCCGACTCATAGTGACCCCTCCTTGGGTTTTTGAGGCAGTATCACTATGGAAGTAGATTGCCCCATCTTCCTTCCGAGGAGTGGCTGGGAATATTTGTGCTTAAAATGTTTTAAAAGGGTTACGTGGCCCCCACTTCCTCCACTTAATCCCTCATCTTGGTAGAGGCGTAATGACAGAAGGCAGAGGACAGATCCTTTTTCTCTTCTTTTTTTTAATAGACACTCAGGTCAGAAATCATCATGCAATATCTCTTGTTTTGCAGAACGCATTGTAGATTTTTAGAGAACCAAGCCTCCCTGTGTGAAGTCAGTGGGTTTAAGAGCTGTGCAGGCAGCAGAGGGGTCTCACACGGCTGGTGATCGGGCCTGACTTCAGGCTGTTGGAAGGAGTTAAAGGATGGGCTGGGAGCACTCACTGTCCTGGCCGCCACCTGCTGTTCGATGGGTCCCTCTCACCCCAGCTGGCGCACCTTCTCACTTTGCAGATCTGTTTCCGTGCCCTTGAGTCTTGGTTCAGTGTCCTTGTTACCAGCAAGGGAGGAGATGCCGGAGTGTCTCCGTGCAGGGAGCTTCCTTGCGCCACCCTGGGAGAGCTTCCCCCCAGCCCACTGGCCCACTGGCTACTCAGACGTACGCACATACCGTAACATACGCACATCAGTTTACTCATTTTTAAAGCTTTATCGAGGTAATACTTTACATACAATTAATTTTGATAAGCTACTTTTTCCACTCTTTTATTACAAAAAATTTAAACATACAGAAAAATAATGAATTTTACAGTGAGTACCTGTAGGCCCACACCTGGATTCCATAATGAACTGTGCTTGCTTTAAGGAGCTCTGGTGGCATAGTGCCTGGAACATTTGATTGCTGACCAGAAGGTTGGTGGTTCAAAGCCACCAGCCCACTCCACAGAAGGAAAATGGGGCAGTCTACTTCTGTAAAGATTTACTGCCTCGGAAACCCAGTGGGGGTTGCTGTGAGTTGGGGTCAACTCGATGGCACTGAGTCTGGTTTTGCTTTGGTGCTGACTTTATCACATTGATAACACATTTTAACATTCGACAAGACCTTTTGATCCCAGTGTTCAGTGTTTCTGTTAGTCCAAGAACTTTTAACAGAAAAATATGTAGTCCCGTTGGTTTTTATCCTGCACTTTTGATAACCTGATTATTTAGTTAGAATTTGAGCTTTTTGATGAATTAATTGCTTCTGTGTTGCTTGTCTTTGACATTTCTCTTGATGGTGACTTACAGAGTTAACAACACTTAGATTGCCCCTACTTTAGCCATCCAGCCAGTGACAGAAACCCCCTGTGACCTTCAGGGGACAAGTGAGTCAGAAGAACAGTACAGACTTGTCCCGGCCTGCCCTAATTCAGGAAGCTGGAGGTCCCCTGGGTTAGAAACTGGTGTGACTTTTCTTGGGACCAGTTGAAACTCGTCACATGTAACACCAAGTTCGTTGGAAAGTGGAATAAAATCTTGAGCCTCAGCTGGAGCTGACACTTGCTGTTTTTTATTGGATCTACAGAATAAAAAGGGCACAGAGCTACTTCTTGGAGTGGATGCTCTAGGGCTTCACATCTATGACCCCGAGAACAGGCTGACCCCCAAAATCTCCTTCCCGTGGAATGAAATCCGAAACATCTCCTACAGCGACAAGGAGGTAGGACATGTTTGTACTGCAAATGTCACTGCAGCTCAGGGACAGAGCAAAGAGCCTCTCCCTCCTCTCCCTCTGGCTGGACTTCCACAGCCAGACCATCCTCCTCTTGTCAGGAGAGTCCTTTAGTTCCCAGGCTTTTGGGCTTTGGTTGTTCATTTGTACAGTATTAAAAGAACAGTGTTGGCATCCTTAATCAAAGGGCATCACTGAAGCCCATTCCTGACTAACAAGAGACTGAGAAGCTCAACTTGTCAGGTCCAAACCCCAGAAAACTGCACAAACCAGATGGAGCGTTTTCTTACTACTTGACTTTCTATTTCTAGTGAGAAGTTCTCATCATAGTTTAAGTTTGGTATGTACTGACCCCTTCTCTCTGTCCAGAGCTTGATACATATGGTGAAGAGATACACGTATGTAAGTGTATGTATCTCACTAATGATATAAATGAGATTATAAGGCTAATATGTTTATAAGGATTGGAGAATAATTAAATTTGAATAACTTAAATTGTCTTGGAATTCAATGATTTCTATACAGGATGACTTTTTTCAAATGTAGTCTCTCCTTTTCTTCCCTTCCTGTCCTTTCCCTTCCCTACTCTCTCCCTCCTGTTCCTCATCCCTTATTCCCCTTCCTTGTCCCTCATTCCCTCTTCCCATTTCCTTTCCTTTCCTTCCAGATTGAGTTTCAGGAATGTTCTTGAAACTTTCTGTGATCAGGTATATCTAGGCAGAAGGGAGTGTGCCCATGACCATGTATAGCGTTGGCAGATAGTATTTCTACAAACATTTGTATGTGCTGTAAGAATTTCTGGGTGTATAATAGAACTGACAAGGGACAAGGTTGTGGTGGCTTCTTGGCCACAGCCAGCTACCCTGAGAGAGTGAGTAGTTGGACCTGTGGGCTTGGGACCATGGTTGCAGGGGACATCAAGCTCAGTTGGCATAACATACTACACAAAAACTTGTTCTACTGCCTACTTTGGTGAGTAGCGACTGGGATCTTAAAAGCTTGCAAGTGGCCATCTAGATGCAATAATGGGTCTCTCCTCATTCAGAGCAAAGAAGAATGAAGAAAATCAAAGACACATGGAAACTATTAGTCCAAGATACTAGTAGATCATGTGATCCTTGGCCTATATGACTGTGAGACCAGAAGAACTAGATGGTACCCAGCTACCACTGTCAACCAGTTGGAGGGGGAATCTATGCAGGAGATCCTGGATAGAGAAGGAAAACAATGTGGAACAAAACTCTAAATCATTAAAAAAAAAAAGAAGACGACAACTAGGTTTGCTGGTCTGATAGAGCCTGATGAGACCCCTGACACTATGGCCCCTAGTAACCCTTCAGGTCTGGAATTGAACTCATTCCTGTGGCTTCCAGCCAAACAATAGACAGGCTTATGGGGTGAACATTTACATCAGGTAGATAGACTCCTTAGAACATCAATCATGGGAGATCAGAAGGGCAGTATTTCCACAGGGAAATAGCTCAGAGGACAGGAATGCATGGGAAGGAAGGACACAGGGAGGAGGTAACTACAGGGAGGAAGTGGGAAAAGAGCTGTTACATTGTAGGGAATCGCAGTCAGTGTCAGGAAACAAAATGTATGAACTGCTGTATGGAAAATGAATTTGCTCTATAAACTGTCACTCAAATCACAATAAAATTTTTAAAAAAAGAAGGTTCTTGAAACATTCTGGCTTTGAATTTTGCTGGGTAGTTAGCCCAGGAGATGAACTTTCAGGTATTTCTGAAAGCCCTTCTCAAAGCTGCTCAGGGCTGAAGGTGGTGGGTATGCAGTGGTATGATAGTTTTTCATCTCCAATTTCATAAAATCTGTTTACTTTACAGGAACACATTTGTGTGCTAAAGGCTCCCCAAACACTCATTTCTCAAAGAACCCAAGGATTAACGTCTCTCCTAGTACGACATGACTCAATAAACTCTAATATACCCTCTCCAGGGGCTGGGCGCCATCATGTTCATCATATCAATAACTCATGCATAAGAGGGCCCAAGCTGACTTGACATAATAGGAAGTAGTCTTGGTTGTTATGCATGATAGCCGAGCTGTCAAAACAGAAATGTTCGTTTATTTTAAGTGATCCATTGATTCTTTGTGCATGCCCTGGCCTGGCACAGAGCCTCTCATTTCCCCACTGCTTGTGGTTTCCCACCGTCAGCTCTGGGGTTTGACAGCAAGGCTAAAAATAAACTCATGGAATTCTCAAATAGCAGTGTACACAAGAGCTTCTAAGTTAACTTAGCACAAAGCTAAACAAAAGATCGATTTTCACCCTCAGTGTACTGACTCCTTGTTGGACAATATAGCGTGTGAAAGAAATGCCCAGGAATGTATCTCCCCAAGCACATTTCTCTGCTTAGCGAGTCTTCCTTAGAATGAATATCCGTGTTTAAGTGCCTCATTGAAACCTGATATCTGTCTGGTCCCATCAGGGAAGGTTGAGAGTGATGGTGCTGTGTGTGTTTTATTTGCATCCTGGCCTCATGGCCTAACCCTGGGTTCTCCTGCTAAGCTACCAGCCTATCCTTGTCATTTCTCTTTCTTTCCCCTTTGGTTTCAGGAATTCTGCTTTTCTTTTCTATCACAATCTATACTTCACATTTGCTTTATGACTTCTGGTCATAGCTTTTATCAAATTATGCCCATGTTTCAAAACTTTTTGTGATTCTCTGTATCCTGTCATAGCAAATCTAGACCCTCCTGACTGTCTTTTATTCCTCACTCTTCCGCCCTCTGCCCCTGCCTCCATCCCTCATAAACCTATCAGAGTCCTCTGCTGCTTTTCCTTCAGTGCCTCTCTCTCTCTCTCTCTCTCTCTCTCTCTCACACACACACACACACAGCTCATTCCCCATCTCTGCCTTAGTTTCTATTGCTTACTCTGGGCCCCTCCATCCTACTTTTAGTTTCTCTGTCATATTCTTTCCAAGACCAGTTTAAATTTGTTCCTATTTACCATAGATCTACCCTAAATTCCCAGGATGTTGGTGATTAGTATCACATAATGAGATACTAATTTATCATGTAATTTATTGAGTAATTGACTGTTTTAGTCTGGTTCCAACTACGTGTTGAGCTTCATAAAGGCTAGTAGACTCAGTAATTGGCCCTCCCAGTGTTGGCTTCAAGGTTGGGCCTACTAAAGGTTCTTATTTCCATTATCAAGCATCCCTCCACACACCTACACCAAAGATGGTGGCGGATCCTTGCAGGATCCTGAACTCACATAGCCTCAGATGTGGTGCACTCCTCAAAAGCTTATACTTCACCTTTGTCTAGTGCCTGGGCACCAAGAAGCGAGGACCCGGCAGAGCCTCGTGCCGGATCTCTGGCAGTGTGGTTGCTAATGTTTGTGGAATTTCCCAGTTGATAAGAAGAACATTCTAGATTGTTTGTCTGAAGGTGTTTTCTGCTTCCTTCTTTCAGTTTACTATTAAACCATTGGATAAAAAAATCGATGTCTTCAAATTTAACTCCTCAAAGCTTCGTGTTAATAAGCTGGTAAGTTGAGATCCTGGTTTTTGTTCTTGATAACTGTAGTTTTTCTGAGAAATTAAGTGCTTCTTTCTAAAGTGTCAGAGTGTCATCTTGTGAGGCATCGAATGAGAGCTCCCTGGGGGTATGCTTTGCTAATAGGCCTTGAAAGACTTCTCTGGGTTTAGCCTAGAGTCAAACCTAAATTTTGTGATGAGAAAAAATTTTAAATTATTTTATTAAAGTACTTCATGCATATGAAAAGATAAATATATGTGTATATATAAAGAATAATATAAAGCATAATGAAAATGAATAGCTGTGTGCCCACTATACCCAGCTTCAAGGGCTAGCACACTCCTAATACTGTTGCAGAGGCGCCCTGGTGGCACAGTGGTTGGGCACTCAGTTCTTAACTGAAAGGTCGGCAGTTTGAACTCAACCAGCCACACCATGGGAGAAAGGTGAGGCAGTCCGCTTCTGTAAAGATTTTTGGTTTTGATAATACCCCTCTTGTTAGCACCCTTCTGGTCTGTTCCTTTCCCCTCCCCCAAACCCAAACCAAACCCACCGCCATCGAGTCGATTCCAACTCATAGAGACCCTATAGGACAGAGTAGAACTGCCTCATGGGTTTCCAAGGCTGTAAGTCTTTTTGGAAGCAGACTACCTCATCTTTTCTCCCAGGGAGCAGCTGGTGGGTTTGCACTGCTGACCTTGTGGTTAGCAGCCAGATGCTGTAACCACCCGCCGCGCCACGAGAACACTCCCCCCAAAGACAGTCGCTGCTCTGAGCTTTGTTTACTGTCTCCTTACTTTTATCAGAATTGTATTTCCTATGTGGCAAAACAAGTATATGGTTAAGTTTTGTGTGGTTTTGAAACTAATATAAATGGTGTGAACTATATGTATTCTTCTGTCACTTACTCTTTTTTTGGGAGAGTTGTCTATGTTAATACTCGGAGAATAGCCCATTCATTTTCACTGCTGTACTGTAATCTATTGTATGATGATTCCATGATTTATTCATTCCCCTATTAATGGACATTTAAGTAGTTTCCACTTCCACGCTGTTTTAACAAGGCTGTCGTGAACATCATTGTATTTTCTGGTGCACATGGGCAGTGGTTTCTCTAGGGTCTACAATATGTACATGGGAGTAGAGTTGCAGGGCACACAGCATGTGTTCAAATTCAAGATTATGCTGAATTGTTTTCCAGAGGAGATGAATTGGTTTACAGACCCCACAGCAGTGGGTGAGGCTTCTTTTGCTTCCTATCTTCAATACTTGTCTTACATCAGTCTTGGAATGTTTACCAGTCTCATGAATGTAACATGGTATCTCAGTGTCGTGTTAATTTGCATCTTCATAACCATGAATGAGGCTGTCTTTCCGTATATTTATTGGCCAGCCATGCTTTCTCTGCTGTTAAGTACTTGTCTCATGTCTTTTGCCATTTTCCTATTGGATGGTTTGTTGGTTTTCTTCATTTGCTACATTGTCTCCCACTTTGTGACTTTTCTTTGTGCTATTTGTTTCTTAATGTCTTGATGAACAGAATTTTTTTATTCTAATGTAGACAAATATATAAATCTTTTCCTTACTCATTGCTTTTCATGTCTGGCTTGATATTTTTCCTTATCTTGTGATCATAAAAGGAGCTCTGGTGGCACAGTGGTTAAGTGCTCGGCTACTAACCGAAAGGTTGGCTGTTCAAACCCACCAGCAGCTCTGCAGAGAAAGATAATTTATATTAGTTTTGGCAGTCTGCTTCCGTAAACATGTAAAGCCTTGGAAACACTGTGGGGCAGTTCTGCTCTGTCCTGCAGGGCCACTATGAGTCGTAATCAACTCGATGGCAATGGGTTTTTTTGGGGGGGGGGGAATTTATGATCATAAAGATATTCTTTTATATTCCAAAAGTTTCAAGGTTTTGATCCTCACATTTAAACCTTTAATCCTTCTGGAACTGATTTTTGTGTGGTGTGAGGAAGGGATCCAACTTGTTTTTTCCCATAGGAATAACTTCTAGTCCCAGCGCAACTTAGTCTTTCCTGATCTGTAAAGCCACATAGAGGACATGATAAAATGTCCTTGATTCCTCTGTTCACTTGTGGTTTTTACCTCCTGGCATATCTGAGCCATCTTCATCATGCCTCCAGAGCAATGAGCACTAGAGGCTGTTAGCAGAACTCGCGTGTTTTACTCCACTCTTTGCTTTTCGGGTTTACTCCTGTGCTCAAGGGCCCTCAGACAAGATGCTGTAACACTGGTAAGCTGGTAGACCAGGAAGTAACTTCGTGGGTTTATTTAACTTTTGTCCTGCTTTCCTGGCCACAGATTCTCCAGCTGTGTATCGGGAACCATGATCTCTTTATGAGGAGAAGGAAGGCTGATTCTTTGGAAGTTCAGCAGATGAAAGCCCAGGCCAGGGAGGAGAAGGCTAGAAAGCAGGTAAGGGAGACCTGGTTTGAATTGTTCCCTGGGAGGGAGGGAGTGGTGGTGGGCTGGCAGGTGTCCTTCAGCCGTGGACACACCTGCTCCTGCTGAATCGCTATGGGCTGATGCCCAGCTGGTGGCATGTCAGCCCTGGAGATGAGGAAGAACTAATTGCAGATTTAAAAGCAGCCTCTCTAGTTACTTATTTCTGTGTTTCAGTGAAGGTGCATGTGAGGAGCCCAGATTCCGGAAGAGCTAGCATTCATCCCTCTGGCTTTCTTTTTTTTTTGTCTCCTTTGCCTGGCCTTTTTATTTTCTAATTAGATGGTGATAGAATGCAGGGCGGCATTTCAGCGCTTGCTGCTGGAATGCTAATTAGACTGCAGCCGCACTTCCCGCTGCAGGTCAGCCGGCAGCTCCTCACCCGCGGCGGGAGGGGGCGGGAGGGGCCGAGCCAGGATCAGCCAGACTGGACGAGCTGCGTCATTGTTTGCTGCTCGTAGACCTGTGCTGCTCACCGACATCCACCCGACTCATTTGAGCCTCGCTGCTGAGAATATCAATTGTGTTTTGGGGAAAACTACTAGATGGCAGCTGCAGGCGGCAGCCCCCAGGACTTGCAGGCTCAAAGGTGTAGTAATTAGCCCATGTGCTGCGCTCTGACTTGGCTACTGGCCCCAGGAGCTAGAATGAAGTGCCTGGTCTGATCCAATGTACGTTCAGCTCTTCCTCTTTGCTTCCTGAGACAACGGCCATAGATGTGCTCTTTGGGGAGGCTTTGGGGGTAGAGGAATGGGTTTTATCAGACTACAAAAGAAACGCTTCTGAGCCAGCACAGGGTCACGGGGGCAACTTCAATAAGAAGCCTACTTTGACCTCCTTTCACAGCAGAGCAAAGCTTAGAAGTGAGAGATCTGAAATGTGGGCCTGCGGGCCCTGGCAGTGAATTGCATGAACACCCCACAGACTTGCCCTGCCTGTACAGCAGCAGAGGCATGTCCTGGCAACTCAACATGTGGACAAGGCACAGGTCAGGAGGCTCCGTGGCCCCGTGGGCAAACACGGCTCCTGCAGCCAGACTGAAGCTTGGTGTGCAGCACTAGTGAACGGCTTACCTTCCGCCCCTTTGTTTTCTCATCCGTTAGGTGGAGCTACTGATGCGTCTTCTCTCTGGATGTTTTTGTAAGCGGTAAACCGCCTTGCACGTGGGGTGGAGGGCACAGGGAAGGCTTAACGTGGGGAACTGAAGGGGTTGCTCTTTTTCACATGGAAGAACTAGGGCTGGAATAATCCCCCTGGAGCCCTGGGGGGTGCAGAGGGGCAGCACGCAGGAAAGGCCTGGCAGCCTGCTTTTGACAAATCAGCCCTGAAAACCGTGTTGAGAACAGTTCTACTGCGACGCCTGTAGGGTGACTGCATAGCAACTGGTAGTTTTTTGTTTTTGTTTTGTTTTTAGTAATGAATGGAAATTATATTATGATGGAAATTAGAGACTCCATGGACGACGCTTTTCATTGCGCTGCAAGAGGCCAGTTAGAGAACATAATAGTATTTTATTGCTTGTTTTCACATTTTGAGGCAATCTACTTCTGTAAAGATTTACCACCTTGGAAACCCAGTGGGGGTTGCTGTGAGTCAGACTCCACCCCATGGCAGTGGGTTTGGTTTGTTTTTTGGTTAATCCTTTAAGGAAGAAATAGTGCCTGTCACTTCCGGTTTCTGCTTTCTGAACTCAGTCAGTACCTGATGGTCATGGGGAATAGCACTTGTCCTGTGCTTATGAAGCTCAGCGTGTGGGCCAACTAATGCAGTGATCCAGAATGCCAGGGAGGTGGGGCTGGCTCTTTGCTGGTGCCTTCCGGGCAGGGAGGGGGGCTGTGTTCCCTGCCTGGCTACCTCCTGACGCAGGAGTTGCTTCTGAACGGAGGGTCTGTGCTGTAACTGCTGCGGCCTCCCCCTGTGAAGTACAATGCACAAAGTCCTGATGCACCCCGCAGGGTGATCCTGTCCTCGGCGGCGGGGCAGAAGTGGGAGTAGAGCTATTGTTGATGGAACTAGAGTGCGGGAGGGGTCCGTGAGAAATGGAAATGGGGAGCTTTCATCAGACCAGTGGAGAAAGCTGTCTGTCCGTGGGGCTCCATTTTAGTGAGGAAGAAGCCTGCATTGTGTCTGCAGGTTGGAGCCGCGTGAGATCTCCCAATCCAAAGGGACCTGGGCAGGCAGCTTTCGCAGGGCACAGATGTGAAAACGCCGGTGCTCGCTCTCCAGTAGACGTTGGCTGCCCCGGTGGTGGTTGTTGTCTTGTTGCTCATTTTGCACTAATTTTTCTTTTTGAAAGGACCCGCTTTCAACTTGCCAGGCGGTTTGGAAAGAAAGAGGGTGGTGGGACAAGAGTGACACTGGCTACCTGGAGGAGGGAGGGCCACACTGGTGGCCCGGGAGGCTGGGTGTGCGTGGGGACCTGTGGCACCCTAGGTCTGGAGCCCCGTGACCATGGCTGCTTTTGTTCCCTGTCAGATGGAGCGGCAGCGACTCGCTCGCGAGAAACAAATGAGAGAGGAGGCTGAACGAACGAGAGACGAATTAGAGAGGAGGCTTCTGCAAATGAAAGAAGAGGCGACCATGGCCAACGAAGCACTGGTGATTGCCAGGCCGAGGCTCCCGGGGGACACCATCAGAGTGACCTGGAATGGGGGCCATTTGCTGACACTTTCAGCCATAAACAAAACAAAACAGAACAAAAACCTGGTGCCTTTTCCTTCCACCCATGCTGGCGAAGCAGATAGAGGTGGTGTTCCTGTGCAGAGCCTCCACTTGGATCGGGGGCTTGCCTTCCTAGCAGGGCTTCTCCGCCTTGGCACTGTGACATTTGGGGCCAGATCACTCTTTGTGGTGGGGGCTACCCTTGGCATTGGGGTGTTGAGCAGTGTCCCCGGCCTTTACCTGTGAGATGCCAGTAACATCCCTCCACCCTGGTAATGACAGTTGAAATAGTCTCCAGACACTGCCATATGTCCCCTGGGGGGCAAAGTCACCTCTGGTTTTGAATTACTGATTTAAAAGGAAGGAAGAACAGAGTTTAAAATTTAGTTTTCTGCCCCATTAACCCTCAGCTCAAATGGGTACTCAGAGAAGGTACTCTTTCTTAATGTGCCCATTGGTGGAGGCCTGGGGGGTTTCTGGAAAGTTGAAGGTATAGTTTGTCATCAGTAGCCAGAGCCCCAAAGAGTCCAAGGCTGGTTCTCCTGACCCAAGTACCCGAGGCCAGATCTGGGCGAGAGAGTGGACACGGGCCGCCATCCCAGCTGACAGCTGCTCTTCTCTGCAGATGCGGTCTGAGGAGACGGCTGACCTGTTGGCAGAAAAGGCGCAGATCACTGAAGAGGAGGCAAAACTCCTGGCACAGAAGGCTGCCGAGGCCGAGCAGGAAATGCAGCGCATCAAGGCCACGGCCATTCGGACAGAGGAGGAGAAGCGTCTGATGGAGCAGAAGGTTCTGGAGGCGGAGGTGCTGGCACTGAAGATGGCTGAGGAGTCCGAGAGGAGGTCAGCAAGGAGGCTCCCTCCACCGCCATGGCCTGCCCTGAGTCAGAGCCTGACCACAGCCATCTGGGACTGAGATGCTGCTTCTCGGTCTTCTGGGGTGGAGAGAGGGTCCTCCTTGACAGGTGGGGGAAAGCTGGGCGCTTCACTCTGTTTGGGGGCTGGTGCTCTTAGGAGGCCACCGGAACACAGTTTTCTTCTCCCATGGACTTCTCTGGTCTGACATGTGCCTTTGCAGGAAGCCCCTCTCCCTTTGATAGCCGTGTTTGCAGGGAAACCATTGACCGTGTCCATAGGATTGCTTTTAGCTAAGGAGATGTGAGGAGGCTCTTTTGGCATTTAAAAAAAAAAAACCTGCTAATCTTTCACCCTTTTTACTTGGGGCTGGGCACAAGGAAACAGCGGTTACTTGCCTTTAAAGCAGAAGCTTCAAATCCCTCCTGGTTGCTGTGCCTCCTGAGGCAGATGGGAGAGAAGGCCGGGATCCTCTCCCTGGCCGGGATGCCCCAGCTTACGACCAGGTTGAGGGCTGGCACTGCTGGGTCTACGTTTCAGGGACTGTCCTGGGCTCTGGGTGGGTTGGGCCCTGCAGCATCAGATACACACTGGCACGGTCCCCGCAGCACTTGGCTCTGGCGCACTTGGCTCTGGCCGTGTAGGAGACTTGAATTTGCATTCACTACGGTGTTCCACTCTGCTTTTTGCACTTCATTCTGAGAATGTTGTTCCTTGCCTGCCCTGTCCCAGGTTTCTTTCTTTCTTTTAATTTTTATTGTGATTTGCATGAGAGTTTACAGAGCAAATTCATTTTCCACATAGCACTTCATACCCATTTTGTTTCATGACATTGTCTGCAATTCCCCAGTGTAACAGCTCTCTTCCCACTTCTCCCTGTGTTACCACTTCCCCATATCCTTCTTTCCTACACATCCCTGCCCCCCCCGAGCTGCCTCCCTGTGTAAATACTGCCCTTCTATTCTCCCATGATCGCTCATTCTAAGGAGTATATCTGCTTGATGCAAATGTTCACCCCATATGCCTGTCTGTTGTTTGGCTGGAAGCTCTGGGAGTGAGTTCAGTTCCAGACCTGAAGGGTAACTAGGGGCCATAGCCTTGGGGGTCTCACCAGGCTCTATCAGATTGGTAAACCGGGTCTTTTTTTATGATTTTTAGTTTTGTTCCACATTGTTCTCCTTCTCTGTGCAGGACTGCACCTCTTCCAGTGTGTGGTCACGTTCTCTGACTGTGATGTGTGTTGGGCAGGGTTTCCTGTGCCAGGTACCCTCAGGTGTCATGCCTAGCATGTGTCCTAGAGGCCAAGGCCCTGCACCAGGGCACAGGTGCCCTCAGGCAACGGTGCCCCTTCCGTTGGTGGATGAAAGCAGCCTTCATCCCACAGGTGTAAAGACTCTGCCCTTTGTGATCCAGCGTAAGACTGGTCTACCACACTCCTCCTTGGCCCAGCCCACTCTCATGCAGAACCCTCTAGCCCTTCCCTCAGTTTCTCTTTCCTTTGTACCAGTTGCAAAGATTCTTATTTGACTCTTCTTTCCGCAGGCTGCCCTGCTCTTTCCATTTAGATTTACCAGTTGAAATGAATAATACCCAGGAATGCTGTCGTTGGTGGGGAAGTTTTGATTTCATGCAGATGTCTTTACCCTGCCACACGGTCCTTGTTTGCCTTGTCAGCTGCCATCCTTTGGGTTAACCGGTGACCCTCCTCTCCACAGTAGAAGTTTTCCCTCCACTTTTTCCTCCTCTAAGGAGCTCTGGTGGCTCTGTGGTTAAAGCATTGGGTTGCTAACTAAAAGGTTGGCAGTTTGAACCCAACAGCTGCTCCATGGGAGAACGATGAGGCAGTCTTGTTCTGTAAAGATTTACAGACATTCAAACCATATTGGGCAATTCTACACTGCCCTCTGGGGTCACTGTGAGTCAGAATTGACTCGATGGCAGTGGGTTTGGTTATCCTTCTCTGTGGAGCTGATAGCCCCACTTACCTTGCAGGGCAAAGGAGGCAGATCAGCTGAAACAGGACCTACAGGAGGCCCGAGAGGCAGAGCGGAGAGCCAAGCAGAAACTCCTAGAAATCACCACCAAGCCCACGTACCCGGTAAGCACGGGCGAGGAGGGCCTACCAGACTGTGCTGCTGTAGGCCTGGGGACTTCCCTCGTTCCTAAGCCTTTGGTTCATCTGGCGGTACCTTCCAGGGTGACTGTTCAAGCAAACGCGTGGCAGAACCAGTGAGGCAGAGAGCTGGGAGTCAGGGAGCTGGCTTAGGACATCCCTGGTCTGCTATTTGGCCTTGGGGTGGTCAGTCACCTCTCAGGTTGCCCAGATGATAGAGAACAGAACCTTTCTAGCGCAAAAATGATGCTTTCCTAAGTATTGTAGTTCCAAATTACCCTCAGGAGAATTTACTCCCTAGTTTCTTAATGGTGAGCCAAATGTGATCTTCAGCCATCAGTGTATGCCCGATGTACCCTATACCAGCACTGTAGGCCCGGGAAGGGGGAGCCTGTGTGCTTCAGAGTGAGTGACTACAGAGCAGGATCCAGCTTCCAACCTCCGGTTTGGGACGGAGGCAGACTTCAATTAAATGGGGTCAGAAAATGAAGAGAGAAGCTTTATTTATTCCTTTTGCGTTCAGTTCAGCAGACTGGTTTACACCCCCGCCCTAGTCTGTACATGCAGTTACAAAGTCTTCTGACAGGTGTGCGCACGGTGCACTGAGGCTGAGAGGAAGTGCCGCATTCAGCCCGAAGGGCCAGCAGAGGCCTCGGCTTGGTGCTGGGGCTGAACGTTGAACGGGCAGGGAAGGAATGAGAGGTTATAGTAGGCGGGGGCTCGGATGTGCCCAGGGCACAGACACAGTCACACGGGGTACAGAGATGGAAGTGGTCCAGATTTTGTGCAGAGCGCATTATAAGCATGAGAGGTTTGCTCTTGTCTCACGTCCTGGTTATCTTTTGCTGGGTAACAGTCACCCCTTCCAAGCCAGCCATGTGCTCAAAACACGCATTTTTTATCACCTCTCAAGGGAGCGCTCTGTAGGCTGGATGGTCCTCACTTGGGATGTCTCAAGTGGTTGCAGTCAGATGGCAGCTGGGGCTCCAGTCATCTGGAGGCTCCACCAGCCTGGACCCCCACAAGGTGTGTGTTTTCAGAACATTGAGTGGAGCGGACTGTTCTGAGTGCACTTTTTTTTTTTTTTTTTAGCAGAAGACGGCATACGAGATGTCGAGCAG